TAAGCGGTTACTGGAGCCCATAGACATCTACAACGTAAATGCGCCACCCACCTTGAGATATAAGTTCTAAGGTCTCAGTATAGTTACAAAGGCTGCCCCACCCTTCTAACCGAAACGCATTACTGCTTCACGGCAGAAATAGGCAGGGTGGTGGTACCTATCCGCGCGGACTCACAAGAGGTCCTACCACTAACTGTAAGGTATTTGAAACGCCAGAAATTATGAAACGAAAGAAATTAACCCGAAATTAAGTCCTGGAAGCAGTTTTTGTCTACAAACTCGAAAACGAAGAAAAAAACTGTAATATTATATGACAGACTGATTCAGTGGTGCAATTATTATTGTTAGCGCCCCTGATTCTTACGCTGAGGGTCGTAAATTCGATTCCCACATCGGGCAAACATTATGTGATGAGCAGTTTGTTTGTTTATATCTATATGTATATAGATTTAAACATATATAAGTATGTTTGTCAGTCTCTGGTACATATAACACAGGGAATCTTAATTTGGGGCCAGATTACCGTGCGCGATTTGTTCCCGGTTATTATTTATTTATAAATTTATTGGCAGTTAATCTATTACAGTAAACGCTGAGGTTTATTATTCCTGAAGCTGTGTAATACAAGTAATTTCTGTGATAGTAGTTAAATTAACTTTAGTGTTAAAAGTATGGTGGATCTTTAAAACTCGTCAGACTTCCCATGAGTATCCAGACACAATTTTAGCTAGAATCTGACAGTTTTTCTTGGAAATACATTGATCGTCTCTAGGTTGATATATTCGTTATCCATGGAAATAAAATAAAGACAAAAATAAACGTGAAATTGAACCGTAGTTACAATTGTGTGGAAGTAAATAATTTGGCTTTTCGAGGATCGGGTATCCTTTGCTTAGGCAAAGAATACCCTCCTCTGCCTAAGGCTCAGGCTGCTAAGACTCTAACTAACTAATCGACCTTAGGATCGACTTTGTCCTGAGGAGTCCTCAATACGGTTCACATGTTTTCTCAATTGCTACACATAGCACCAAGTGAGACTCCTTTACAGCTCCAAACTTTTTGGATATTTCAATGTCTCTTCATTGGCTGTATTGGCGTTGTGAATTATTGGTTGAAATGTGTTTCATGTGCCTAGACATCTGTCTAGAACGGCCTTATTTTGCATAATATCAGAGATAATTACAATGACAACGGGTAGCTTGTCAAGAACTTTTGAATGTTTGTTAGCGTTTCAAAGTTTTTTAATTGCTTTTTTGGGATTTCTCATCATTCTTGCTCAAGGGAGTTTCGCTTCAAAATTAATAGAACTTTTAACAATTTTGAGTTTGTTGTGCGAGTCGTGAATTATTAATAAGTTTTCAATGTGGCCCGGTGGTAATATGCGTGCTTGTGACCCTAGAGGCCGTAAACTCTAAGCAGATCTGCTAATACCTTTTCTCGGAGTCATTTGACTCCATACAGAAGAGAGCCGTTCGGATTGTCGATAATTCCATTCTCACGAATCGTTTGGAACCTCTGGGTCTACGGAGGGACTTCGGTTCCCTCTGTATTCTGTACCGTATGTTCCATGGGGAGTGCTCTGAGGAATTGTCCGAGATGAAACCGGCATCTCGTTTTTACCATCGCACCGCCCGCCACCGGAGTAGAGTTCATCCATACTACCTGGAGCCACTGCGGTCATCCACAGTGCGTTTCCAGAGGTCTTTTTTGCCACGTACCATCCGGCTATGGAATGAGCTCCCCTCCACGGTGTTTCCCGAGCGCTATGACACATCCTTCTTCAAACGAGGCTTGTGGAGAGTATTAAGCGGTAGGCAGCGGTTTGGCTCTGCTCCTGGCATTGCTAAAGCCCATGGGTGACGGTAACCACTAACCATCAGGTGGGCCGTACGCTCGTCTGCCTACAATGGCAATAAAAAAAATAACAAAAAAAATTACTGGCATCATGTCGTCGTGTTTACTAACATGAAGTCGTCGTGGCCTAAAGGATAAGACGTCCGGTGCATTCGTATCTAGCAATGCACCAGTGTTCAAAACCCGCAGGCGGGTACCAATTTTTCAAATGAAATACGTACTTAATAACAGGTGTTCACGATTGACTTCCACGGTGAAGGAATAACATCGTGTAATAAAAATCAAACCCGCAAAATTATAATTTGCGTAATTACTGGTGGTAGGACCTATTGTGAGTCCGCACGGGTATGTACCGCCATCCTGCCTATTTCTGCCGTGAAGTAGTAATGCATTTCGGTTTGAAAGGTGGGGTAGCTGTTGTAACTATACCGAGACCTTAGAACTTATATCTCAAGGTGGGTGGCGCATTTACGTCATAGATGTCTATGGGCTCCAGTAACCACTTAACACCAGGTGGGCTGTGAGCTCGTCCACCCATCTAAGCAATAAAAAAAATCATGAAACCCAAAACCAGTTCATACCAATTTTCGTATAGCTTCGTAAATTAAGCCCGTAATTATTTGCCATTAATGATCTTTTCCCATAGAATTGCATCGTGCCGTGGGAAGCGGTACATAGATGTGTTTCCATGACAACCATTGTGTCAATGGGAATGTCTTGAAGCCATTGTCTCATGGTGTTCATTTGGGTCATTGACCGATTACGTCGAGGATAATAATAAATTTTAATTAATTTTATTTGGTAAAGGACTCGCGTGTATTAAAATCAAGATGCATATACTAGGCTGCACTAAAAGTATCGGGAATGGAATATTTCTACTGTTCCTGTCATATTAAAATCTTTTTATTTGAAAACTCCTTGGTTTTAAAAATCGAATACCATTTATTTATTTAAAAAAAGATTCTCGGTCTTGTCGCGAGGTTTTGTCAAACTTGTTTAGTCGTTGAGAAAATGGAATTGACTCGAGAAAATTCAAGAGCGATGATTTATTATGACTTTCGAAGTGGTTTAACACAAAAACAGTGTGTTGACCGGATGATTTCTGCATTTGGTGATGAAGCCCCATCCAAAACCACAATTTATCGCTGGTTTGCTGAGTTTCAACGTGGACGTGTCAAGCTCAGTGATGATCCCCGTCAAGGTCGTCCAAAAACTGCAGTCACCCAAGAAAACGTTGATGCTGTGCGTAAGCTGATTGAGGAAGATCGACATGTGACATACCGCGAAATTCAGGCAACTTTAGACATTGGCATGAGTCAAATACAAATAATCTTGCATGAACAATTAGGTGTAAAAAAGTTGTTTTCCCAATGGATACCGCATTCGCTCTGTGAAGAGCAAAAAGCGGCTCGCGTTACTTGGTGCGTCAGAACTCTCGAAAGATTCCACGCAGGATCCTCAAATGCTGTATACAACATTGTATCAGGTGACGAATCCTGGATATACGCGTACGAACCCGAAACAAAAAACCAGTCACTAGTTTGGGTGTTCGAAAATGAGTTAAGGCCAACAAAAATTGTTCGTTCACGGAGTGTTGCAAAAAAATGGTGGCCACGTTTGTCTCCAAAACTGGTCATGTTACGACTATTCCTCTTGAGGGACAAAGAACGGTTAATGCAGAATGGTATGCTAGCATTTGCTTGCCACAGGTCGTTTCTGAACTCCGTAAAGAGAACTGCAACCGCCGCATCATCCTCCATCACGACAATGCGAGTTCTGCCTGCGAGCTGTGGACGCCTACAAAACGGCCATTTTGGAGACCCCAACTTCCGAATGGAATGGTTGCTTCAATGATTGGTTCCATCGTATGGAAAAATGTGTCAAATTTCGCGGAGAATACTTCGAAAAGCAATAAATACATTTTTAAATAGTAATGTTGTGTCACTTCGTTAATTCCCGAAATTTTCAGTGCCGCCTAGGTATCTCAAGGTATGTGGCACATTTACGATGTAGATCTCTATGGACTCCGGTAACCACTTAACACCAGGTGGACGGGCGGTCAGCTCGTCCACCCACCTATGCAACAAAAAAAACCAGCTTATAATTTTAAGCAACAGATTACCTCGAGAGGACTGATGCTGTACTGGTATTAGCAGCCGGGCAGACGATTACGTAAGATCCTCTGACATTGAAACATAGCCCACATGCGTAACCACAAGTGACCAAAATTTAATTGCAACTTTCCCACAAGACATATTGTTCACACGCAGATAATGCGTATTATGAAAGAATTGACTCAGTTAAGATTGAACCGTAACGTACTTGCTTAGTCTTTTTATTGCTTAGATGTGTGGACGAGCTCACAGCCCACCTGGTGTTAAGTGGTTACTGGAGCCCATAGACACCTACAACGTAAATGCGCCACACACCTTGAGATATAGTTCTAAGGTCTCAGTATAGTCACAACGGCTGCCCCACCCTTCAAACCGAAACGCATTACTGCTTCACGGCAGAAATAGGCGGGGCGGTGGTACCNTTTTTTTATTGCTTAGATGTGTGGACGAGCTCACAGCCCACCTGGTGTTAAGTGGTTACTGGAGCCCATAGACACCTACAACGTAAATGCGCCACACACCTTGAGATATAGTTCTAAGGTCTCAGTATAGTCACAACGGCTGCCCCACCCTTCAAACCGAAACGCATTACTGCTTCACGGCAGAAATAGGCGGGGCGGTGGTACTTACCCGTGCGGACTCACAAGAGGTCCTACCACCAGTAATTACGCAAATTATAAATTTTGCGGGTTTGATTTTTATTATACGATGTTATTCCTTCACCGTGGAAGTCAATCGTGAACATTTAGTTAAGTACGTATTTCATTAGAAAAATTGGTACCCGCCTGCGCGATTTGAACACCGGTGCATCGCTACATACGAATGCATCGGACGTCTTATCCTTTAGGCCTTTTTTATTTATTCGGGAAAGTGAAGCGTTTATTGCGGAGCACATCTCTCCCATCACCAAAAATCTCGCTCTAACCAAATATCTTCTCACCCAACGATATTTAAATTCTCTTTAAGATCACAATCTAATCTCTTTTTTCAGGTCGATTTAATAGCATCACTAGCGCAATCTCTTCAAGCACCATGATACTTCTGCTCATCTTTTTGGTGGGACAATCCAGGTGCCAGGAAGTGACAACTCCGTCCAGTCTTCTTGGGCCAAAGCACTATAACTACCATGCGTTTGATGCTGAACGGTACTTGAAGAGCTTAAACTTACCGCTGCCAACAAAGTGAGTAGACTGATAGCATTGTAGTATAGTCTTCGTAGTTAGCTATTCGTAATAGTAATCTCTATATATAAAAATGAATTGCTGTTCGTTAGTCTCGCTAAAACTCGAGAACGGCTGGACCGATTTGGCTAATTTTGATCTTGAATGATTTGTGGAAGTCCAGAGAAGGTTTAAAAGGTAGATAAATATGAAAATGCTCGGAATTAAAATAAAACTAACAATTTTGTTTCTTCCTTTGATGTGTCCCCCGTCGGACGGATTCCTTTTGTTTGTTTTAAGTTTATTTTATACAAAAGTTTCGGTCTTTTATTTATCGATTGAAGCACTACAAAGTCTGCCGGGTCAGCTAGTGCAAAATACTTTTCACAGTTCACAGTTACACAGTTTTCGTGGTAACGGATTAACGAGACACGAAAACTGTAAATTATTCTATACTGTATATCTTTTTTTTATTGCTTAAGTTGGTGGACGAGCACACGGCCCACCTGATGCTAAGTGGTTACCGAAGCTAATAGACGTCTACACATAAATGCCGCCACCTACCTTGAGATATGAGTTGCAAGGTCTCAGCATAGTTACAACGGCTGCCCCGCCCTTCAAGCAAACGCATTACTGCTTCACGGCAGAAATACGCAGGTTGGTGACACCTACCAGCGCGGACTCACAAGAGGTCCTAAGATACGATTTCATTAGAAAAATTGGTACCCGCCTACGGGATTCGAACACCGTTGCATCGCTATATACGAATGCGCCGGACGTCTTATCCTTTAGGCCACGACGACTTGTAAATGTGTTGAACGCGAGCTACATAGTAGGCGTAGTGGTGGTGTCAGGTTATTTTCGTTACGGAATTTCGTGACTCAGTCGCCGTGCTCAAAGCCCGCGATAAAAGCTATGCAATAGCTTAATAATAGTATAATTATACTTAATAATAGTATATTAATAATAAATTTTAATTAAAAATAGTGTAAGAAAAAATTATTTTATTGTAAAAAAAAGCGTGGGGAGCTTTTCAGGATATTATCAAAATAACCCTTCTACTCATATCTGTTCATAAAATATTTATAACTATTGATATAGAGCACCCCACGTCAATCCGACGTTTTGAAGGGGGTCAAAATCATGTTCAAAGTTTCCGTTACAAACATACATACGTCTGAAGCTAATAAAAGCGTATTAAAAAGAGAATACTCGGCTCTCTCTATTGCTTGAGGCGTAAGTTAAGTTAAAAGGGCCCAGCTCCACTGAAACATTAAGAATACAGAGCGCCCGGAATGGCAAGTTTATAGATAACAACCTTCAAAACCACGGTCCTGGGTTTTAACTCGTCACTAATTAAATTTAAGTTTGGAGTCGGTAAACTGTTACAAACTGCTTGATTAATTAGTAAAGTTAGTGCAGAATGGATACTTGACCTAGCGGAAGCGTTGTACGGTACAATTTTATTTCATTTAACTACAGAATTTATCATTATTTGGTTTAGTTCGAACTGTTTATCTATACAAAAAAATTAAATTGGAGTGTCTGTAAAATAATAATATAACAACTTTTTACTAAATGCGTAAGTACATATACCACAGTACATATACCAAAATAATTTTAAGCTATTGCATAGCTTTTATCACGGGCTTTCAGCACGGTGACTGAATCAAGAATATTCATAACGAAAATAAAACCTAACACACCCACTTCGCCTACCATGTAGCTTGCGTTCAACACATTCACACGTTGCGCTTGTGTAGTGTTTGTGAATATGCCGGCGTGACGTCGCACTGAATACGCATCATGAAAAGTCTGCCCCATCTCTCTCTCGCGCGGTCTAGCTTATGAGTGTGAAGGGGACAGTTAATGTTTTGCTTTTGTTAATGTTTATAAATATAGCGTGGTCTTATTTTTTATTGTTTTAATATTAAATTATTATTGTCGAATTATAATTGCATAAGTTGATAAAAACGCTATGCAATAGCTTTACCGCGGCAGTTCCCGAGTGACACACGTGTTTTTTTTTTCTGTCTGTTTGTTCCGGCTAATCTCTGGAACGGCTGGACCGATTTTGACGAGACTTGCACTGACAGTTAAGATGATTATTGATTAAGGAGTAGCTTAGGCTATTTTTTTTAGACTAGCTTCGCCCTGCGGCGTCACCCGCGATAAAATCGCGGGACTCGGCTAGTTTATATATAAAAATAGGCAGACAGAAAAACGTTAGTGCCTTTTTCTCGTTTGTCTATCAATAGCTTTCAGGTTTTTTTCAGCGACCATTAACAAGCCGGTGTCAATAAAAAATAATTGGAGCCGATTTCTTCCCTACCCTAATAAAGAAAATGTGTCAAAGCGGGAACAAAACCAAAAAACAATATTACGTACAGCGAATATAAACTTTGAAGTGTCAGTAATTAGGGTCGAGTTTCCATCAGGGGTGATTACGTGAATTGGTATTAACCCTTTGACTGTCGTGTAGGTCACCGGTGCCCCACGCGGGGCACTAAAGTAATTATGTAGATTTCTGTTACTAAGGAGTTAGAACATCTAATAGACTTGAAAAGACGAATTATTGAGAACGAATCTATTTCTAAGAGACCTAAGCCACCTCTTGTGAGTCCGCGCGGTTAGGTTCCACCACCTCGCCTATTTCTGCCGTGAAGCAGTAATGCGTTTGAAGGGTGAGGCAGTCGTTGTAACTATACTGAGACCTCAGAACTCATATCTCAAGGTGGGTGGCGGCATTTACGTTGTGGATGTCTATGGGCTCCGGTAACCACTTAACACCAGGTGGGCCGTAAGTTCATTCAATCAAATACGCCCTAAAAATATTTTAAAAACTAAAGATAAATATTTTGCGTGTTAATCGAAAAGTCGCTTAAACCAAAAAACCTCTCACCCCTCCATATTATTTTCGATTGAGATTAAACTGCTTAAGAATTTCCAATGACTTCTGTCGCCACTCTTCACAGCCATCAAAAGTCGACCAGCTTACACCCCAATGCTGAACAATCACCTTTTTCCTTATGCTGATAGCCTCGAGAGGCTATTTCAGCTTCTGCTTGACGTGTTGGTGAGCTCACGGGGCTGAAACCGTGAGTGTTGCTAACACTGGCCCTAACAAGAGCAGTGATTCGCAAAATCTACCATCGGATCGGAAACACGACCCACTGAGAAGATCCGGCGAGAAACTCAGTGGGCTGAGCCCAACAATCACTGCTGTACGCCCAAATATATCGTCTTTTCGCATTAAAACTGTGCAATTTCCTAAAATATTCCAAAATTGAGTCAATATGCGAAATCATTTGATATCACCAGTATTTTTCGCATAAATACTGTCAAAAGAGCTCAGTTTAGTTTTAGTTTTTTTTTAATTTACCTATGCTTTGATTACTATTAACAAAATTATAATAATACATAAATTTATCTTACTTTAATAGACAGCTAATGTAACTGGCAAAAAATAAAAAATAACTGTTGCAAAGATGATCAATATTAAAAGAACCACATGTTAAAAACCTTTAAAACACTCTCCTGTAAAATTAGTAAGTTTTGAGATTATCTTATCTTATACCTTATACCTTTAAACGAGCAATTCTTGTATATATATATTATATATATGTAATCTGAATCTCGGGAACGGCTCCAACGATTTTTATAAAATTTAGTATACAGGGGATTTCGGGGGCGATAAATCGATCTAGCTACGAATTATTTTCAGAAAATGTTGTTTTATACGTGTTTTCAATAATCAACTTTATCGATAATCAACTTTATGACTCTTCCCGACATCTATTGGCGAATAATAATACTATTTTTCATAATTGAGAGCAACACACAATAACACTGAAGCTATTTCAGCAGATGGCGTTGTTAAGCCACCCGAAGCCAACGAGTGTTTGGTTTAAGGTTAGACCAAGAAAATGAATTGTTTATTTATATTATTTATATCTTTTTAACTCACGTGTTCACTTAAAAATGCCTAAAGGATCTTGGAATATTTCATCATTTTATTAATATGTAATTCGTATTTAAATATAATTTCTAAAAAACACAATTTATCAAAAAAAAAAACCAAGCAAAGCTCAGTCATTGTCTAGTACAGTTTTAATGCGATAAGACGATATTTGAATCTCATTTGAAGAATTACGCTTCTCTGGTTTCTCTTCCAGGCAAGGACCGGTTCTTTTCCCCAACGATGCTCCACCGGCACCAAGGACGCCACTCGTCGTCACCTCCCGACCCCTCATCGAGTCCATAGCAAAAAGCGATTTGAACCCACTACCGCAAAACAATACGGAGGCACAACCATCGAGCAATGGTGTATCTTTTGTTCCATTCTTTGGCAAGGTCAACGAATACAGACCGTTCTTCGGCGCTGGACCAGGGAAGCCACACGTGAACCGCTTTGAGGTAAGCTAACTGAAAACAAGTTATAAGTGAATTAACGCGTACTTTTATAAGTCGTCGTGGCCTAATGGATAAGACATCCGGTGCAATCGTGTGTAGCGATGCAACGGTGTTCGAATCCCGCAGGCGGGTACCAATTTTTCTAATGAAATACGTACTTAATAAATATTCAATTTGACTTCCACGGTGAAGGAATAACATCGTGTAGTAAAAATCAAAGCCGCAAAATTATAATTTGCGTAATTATTACTAGTGGTAGGACGTCTTGTGAGACCGCACGGGTAAGGTACCGCTACCCTGGTTATTTCTGCCGTGAAGCAATAATGCGTTTCGGCTTGAAGGGTAGAGCAGCCGTTATAACTGATACCTTGGAGATTATATCTCGGGGTTGGTGGCGGCATTTACGTTGTAGATGTCTATGGGCTCCGGTAACAGAGTCCGGTAAAAAAAAGACAGCGAAAACAACAATGAAAGCATTCGCTTCGGGATTCGCGAGTTGTAGAATTAAAACTAAGACCGATAAGGTGGTGCAGTAGTTACTGGCGGCCTGGACTGCTGCTCTGAGGGTTGTGGGTTCAATTCCCATATCGGGCAAACATTGTGCTATGAAAATAGTTTAGTAAGTATGTTTATCAGTCTCTGGTATTTATAACACAGACAATCCTAATTTGGGGCCGAATAATCGTGTGCTATTTGTTCCCATTTAATTATTTATTATTTAAAACTGCATTTACGATTCAACCTCGTTTGCTTTTATCATTTATTTTATTCTTTCCGCCATTTTGAATGCCTTACAATCTTCACGACTAAGGTATTATTCGGTACAAGGAAATTCGACGGTAGTTATAATTAGAATACAAAAATAGTTAACTGATTAATCGCTTCACTGTTCTTCCGTGAGTCCGGGCTTAGCATCCGGTCAGAATTGATTTTTCTTTATTTAACAAATGACATAATAATATGTATATCTCGACCAAACAAATATCCTTAATTATAATTATCTTTGATTCTCATAATCTATTTATAAGAAAGTATCTTTTAATGCTTATCATTTGGAAATGGGATTCCGTATTCAAAGAAAATCTGATCTCAGCGACCGTTGACATTCCTTAGTCTATCTATTCAAGCAATAAAAATATAGTATTGTTACGCGCTGGGGTTCGGGATAAATAAAAATTCTACCGAAGTACAAATAAAAACTGTATTGTTACTTAGAACACTTAACGGACACTTTCAAATTCTCAATTCACTTCTTCCGCTTCGCTTCAGGAGATCCGTTCGCTGTTTCGCTTCGAGAAGTTTCAATTACTAACTGCTTCGTACAATCTCTGCCGCGCTTTTAAAGTCGATACGACATCCCTAGAATTATCGAGAACATTCCTCACAAGTCGAGTATTTTCGATGTGTGTTTCCGCTATCTGACAATAGATGGCGTTGTACTTCTCGAGCGTTCTATATGTCACCTTTGATATTCGTTTCGGCTATTCGGATATAGATGGGGTTGCTCTTGCCGGCGTAACAATATTGTACTTGATAATACATACAAGAACCGACACCTGCACTATCCCACGTATCACAATAGCATTAATCAATCAAAGGCGCTGTATACAGAGGACGACAGAAGAAAAAAAACTATGAAAAACGGAGCCACGAAATACGCTTATATAATTAAGAAACAAGAATTATTCATCTATATACATAAAAATGAATTGCTGTTCGTTAGTCTCGCTAAAACTCGAGAACGGCTGGACCGATTTGGCGAATTTTGGTCTTAAATTATTTTTGAAAGTCCAGAGAAGGTTTAAAAGGTGGATATATATATGAAAATGCTCGGAATTAAATAAAAATAACATGTCCCCACAAAATGTCCCCCGTCGGACGGATTCCCAGGTGACGTGATGCCCAGGTGCCGAAGACCGGGATCAGTGGTGTGGGTTAGGAGAGACTTGTGTCCAGCAGTGGAAGACTGTGGGCTGATGATGATGACGTTGATAATATAAGGTACTCAGCGTGTTGCGATTTCGATTCGGTGGTAGGTTCAGCGAAGCACTGCTCTTTCTAGGGCTAGTGTTAGCAAATTCTCTCAAGTCAAGCCCGTGAGCTCACCTACCTGTCCCAGTATAGCCTCTTAGGCCACCAGCGAATAGGTATGTAAAATAAAAACGTTAAGTACGCGACCCACCTGAATTGTTACCGGAGATTGGCTGTTTTTTTTATTGCCCGAGCAGGCAAACGAGCATATGGCCCACCTGATGGTAAGTGGTTACCGTCACTCATGGACGTCAGCGAAGCCAGAGGGCAGAGCCAATCTGCTACCTACCGCTTAATACTCTCCACAAGCCTCGTTTGAAGAAGGACATCTCATAGCGCTCGGGAAACACCGTGGAGGGGAGCACATTCCAAGGCCGGATGTTACGTGGCAAAAATGACCTCTGGAAATGCACTGTGAATGACCGCAGTGGCTCCAGGTAGTATGGATGAAATCTACTCCGGTGACAGGCGGTGCGATGGTAAAAACGAGATGATGGTATCATCTAAAACAATAACAAACAATGTTTGTTGGAATAATCCGTTTTACTATTTACCAAGCGTGTTTAATGTGTTAAAACTTCTAATCTCAACGGTAGAAACGTTAGTGTTACTTAACGCAGCTACAGGCGAACTAAGGTATGGGACGTGATCGGCATTGGTCGTCGATTTAATTCTTCGGCACGCCCGCTGTGACACCAGCACGAGATGACGAAAACAATTACAAAAGTCACGAATTGAATGCGCTACGCTTGTTTCAATGGATGCGGCGTGTTTTGAAGAGTCGCAAATTAGAAACCCTGTTACTAACTAAGCTCGCCATAACTCTATTTAAAAGACGTCGTGGCCTAAAGGATAAAACATCCGGTGCATTCGTATCTGGAGATGCACCGGTGTTCGGATCCCGCAGGCGGGTACCAATTTTTCTAATTTTTCTAATTACAAAAAATCTAAGCAAAAAAATTGCTTCAAGGCAGAAATAGGCGGGGTGGTGGTACCTACCCGTGCGGACTCACAAGGTCCTACCACCAGTAATTACACAAATTAAAATTTTGCGAGTTTGATTTTTATTACACGATTTTATTCCTTCACCGTGGAAGTCAATCGTGAACATTTATTAAGTACGTATTTCATTAGAAAAATTGGTACCCGCCTGCGGGATACGAACTGCATCCCTCGATACGAATGCATCGGACGTCTTATCGTTTTGGCCGCGACGACGACATAATTTCATTTCATAATACCATTTTTCATATAAAAAGTTTTCATTAAAATTAAAATAAGACTTGACTTAAAGGTCTTAGTTACCAGGTCAGGAAATCCCTTAAAATAATTGATAAAAGTAAACCGGGCGCTTTATCCTCTAGGCCACGACCACTTCACAATTAAAATGTAAACTAAAAATAAAATTCCGTACCATAATTTTCCTTAAAAATATTATAATTAATACATAGTTTAATCGCTGTTCTCGTGGCTCGACAGCGAGAGACCGCAAGTCACTATAGTCCACTTTGATGTTCAAAGATATTTTCTTAACATCATCCAGACATTATTTTATCCTTTAACGTATTTTTGTAAGATGCCACTAGATGGATAAATAAATATTTGTTTTAATAATTAACTTTAACTATATCAATTCATGTGTAATTTTATGAACTAGTGGTCCCACAGAAGTCGAAATTCGACTATAATTAATAGAAATTGTAAGTTTGGACATTATTATAGTTCTGTTGTCAAAGACTATTTATTATTCTTCTATAAAATCACAGATTTCGCCAAGACTACTCTATAGACAAATAATATTAAAGACAAACAATATTAATATATTCTCAATTTGACCACACACTTTAAATAATAACAAAAGTTTGATAGTAAAGTATCTATGTATAAGTATATGTGTTATGTGCTATGTTAAATACATGGTAGTATGTGTATTGGTTTTTTTATTGATTTCATGTATTTTTAATGCATAATTAAAACAAAAATATATTAACACCCTGCACTCCTTCTCTATATTCTCTATAAGTGTAGAAAATTTCATACGAGAAGTATGTAATTTCCGCGCAATTTTCTTAAAAAGGGATACAAAGTTTTTGCTTCGCGTATTAATTTAAAGACACAATCTGGTGGTACATACCCAAATGTTGTATTCCACCTATCTCTGATTTAAATAATTAAAACTGTTTTTAGTTTTATTATTTCTGACGTTACCAATACTTTATAGTTTTTGTAGTCGCGAATGACTTCTTCCACTACGAGGGTTCGGCGTAGCAAATCCTCTGTTTCTATTCAGGCCCATCATACGTCATCGCCCTACCCCTGTTCACAGAATCTACCGAAGTATTTTGCACGGTCACGAAGTACTTTAGTAGTACTTTAGAAGTAAACTTTTGCTAAGAGGTACGGTAGGAGCAACTAACAAAAGAAAAGTCTAAGGGTTTAAATGCTGCGGTATCAGTTTGGTAGTCCTCATGGCATTAACTGAGAATTATGATCAGCCATTGGCACAAAGGTCGTAAGTATTCGTATTCTTTAAGTGGTAGGACCTCTTGTGAGTCCGCGCGGGTAGGTACCACCACCCTGCCTATTTCTGCCGTGAAGCAGTAATGCGTTTCGGTTTGAAGGGTGGGGCAGCCGTTGTAACTATACTTGAGACCTTAGAACTTATATCTCAAGGTGAGTGGCGCATTTACGTCGTAGATGTCTATAGGCTCCAGTAACCACTTAACACCAGGTGGGCTGTGAGTTCGTCCACCAATCAAAGCAATAAAAAAAAACGATCTATATTTAAATATTGTGTTACCGTCTATTTTTAACCGACTTCAAAAAAGGAGGATGTTCTCAATTCGACTATGTTTTTTTATGTTTTTTACCTCATAACTTTTGACGGGGTGTATCGATTATGATGATTCTTTTTTTATTAGAAAGCTGACGCTTCCCGTGTGGTCCCATTTCAATTTAGTCCAGTTCTGATAATGGTATCCATGAGAAAACCATATAAGTCTTAAATCTGCATTAAGTACGTGCGCGACAAATAGATGAATAACTCATTAACTTAATATCACGCCAACCGATTTCGATTTTTTAGTGTATATTAATTTGTTTTGGAATATCTTTTGATGTGACAACGTCTCATAATTCGATGGAGCCGGCTGCACGCACGAAAAAACATGACTCATGCGGCGTTACATCGCTCTGAGGCGTTCCATTTAAGGCTTGAAGTGCAAGCGAGAGCGCGCAACGAGCGACAAAGAAGCACAATCGGCCTCCGCGTTCGGCAGCGTTCGACATGTCTCTCTCCTACCTGAGTGAGCGATGCATCCGCGTGGACAGCTGCTATACAATAATACATTTACATGTTTTCGTCAAGTATGAAGTTCAGTGAAAAGTGAATGTGGTGTTAATTGTTTATAGCAACGATAATTGCGATAATTGAAAAATGAAACCATTCCATCAGTATTTTCTTATGACGTTGTCACGTTCAACTATCGTCAGTAAACCGACTTTACAGACAAACGATTTTATTTTTCTATTTGAAGTCGTATTTTGTTAAAGCATGTCTATTTACAATTATTGTTTATTTTATGTCTACAAATCGGGAAAACAGAAGCAATATATTCCCAAATTAATAACGTCAATAATAAGAACTTGCTTGCTTTGGCATTTATCGTATTGTATAAAAACATTTTATTTAGATCATAAATCATATCGATACGACTATCCGAACCTGACTTCCTTCGACCTATTGTTATTTGCCTACGAAGGCAGATGACAAGTTATTTCTTTATTATTTAGATGGGTTGATGAGCTCAGTCTGGTGTTAAGTGGCTATCGGAGCCCATAGGCATCAACAACGTAAAAGCCGACACCCACCTTGAAACATGAGTTCTTAATGTCAGTTTTACAATACAACGGCTGCCACACCTTTCAAGCCGGAACGCATTACTGTTTCGCGGCAGAAATTGTCGGAGTGGTGGTACCTACCCGTGCGGATTCACAAGACATCTTACCACCAATAGAATACGTATACGACCTTCGGGTGCTCATGATTCTCAGTTAATGCCATGAGTACTAAAAAGCTGATACCGCAGCATTTAAACCCTAAGACTTTTATTTTGTTAGTTGCTCCTACCGTACCTCTTAGCAAAAGTTTCAACTAAATCGGCTACAACTTGACAGTTCACGAGACAATATGTCCTTAATTCAACTCAGACTAACTCGAACTTTTTTCAGAATCAATCACCCTTGCCACCGATCTACAGAGTAATCAATGAACACAAAGTCCAAAACAAGAAACCTTATGACTACGACTACAAGGTATGTATTTGTTTAAATTAATTAGAATGGTGAACGTAAAAAATAATTTGTTTATTACCGTTGAAGTCAGATAAGCTTACAGACCAACTGCTAATCTTTAATCGGTTTGGGCCAAGAACCTCTTGGCAAGAAGGCAAGCCGATGTTTATAAGGTAGGTAGATGTCAAATACCAAAGACAGCTATAAACAGAAAGACAGTGAGAACCAAAAAGGATAATGAATGAAGTAAGAGATTAAACAATAGAGTGGCAGTTATAATAAATTTTGTTTTTAGGTAAAAGCACCAGAATACAATCAGCATGACAATGGAATACACGATGAAAACAATTCAGATTACAATCACGTAAGTCTTAGCTTGAAACTTATAAACACGATGCATAGGGTTTGAAGGGTGGGGCAGCCGTTGTAACTATACTGAGATTTTAGAACTTAAGTCTCAATGTGGGTGGCGCATTTACGTCGTAGATGTCTATGGGCTCCAATAACCACTTAATACCAGGTGGGCTGGGAGCTCGTTCACCCATCTAAGCAATCAAAAAAAATGGACCTCAGCTATGCCATAAATAGAGTCAAGCCGCTGTCTACCACATCCCTGGGTCCAAATCGACATGCGAAGCGTCCAACTTAATGTCTATGATCCACTGTAACTTGAGCCGTGAGCTGCTCATTTTTTTCAAAAGCTAGATCGACATCTTAACAGGACAGCCTTTTAACGAATCTCTTAGCCTCATTCAGATTAGAACGCGTGGCTAGTTTGCCGCCAAAAACTATAAAAGAAAAAAAAAGGAGTTCTAAGGTCTCAGTTTGTACAGTACGGCCTTCAAGCCGGAACGCATTAGTGTTTCACGGCAGAAATAGGCAGGGCGGTGGTATCTACCCGTGCGGACTCGCAAGCCGTCCTACCACCTATTAATTGAGCAAATTATAATCTTCCGGGTTTAATTTTTATTACACGAGGCTGTGAGCTCATCCACCAATCTATATTTGAGGTAGTCAGCGCAAAAGTGACTTAACCCAAAATTTTGTCATATCCGTACATATAATTAATTTCTTCCTATTCATTCCTTTTAATACTGTATAAACTATTATATGTACGTATGTATGTTTATGTATGTATATGTATATGTGATTGTGTATATATGTATTACTTTTTTTGTGTATGTATTTGTAACTTAATATAAATTTCATTGCACCAATCACTACACTACTCTGCACTACCTTTGGTTGGCTGGTAGAGAATGCCTTAGGCATTAAGTCCGCCAATGTAAATTTCGCATGAAGTGTAATAAATAAAATAATATAAATAAATATGTATATTGCAATTTATTTAAAACCTATTAAAACAAGACCTATACTGAGTTTCACCGATAGATAACAGATCGCTTTGTAAGCATTATTTTTACGCGTATCATGTTTGCCTACGAAGTAGTTTAAAAGTAAATTCAAACCTTATTATCTCGTTTTAGTCTTATTATATCGTTTGTATTGGTATTAGCGTGATGTTATATAGCCTATAGCCTTCCTCAATAAATGGGCTATCTAACACTGAAATAAATTTTCAAATCGCACTAGTAGTTCCTGAGATTAGCGCGTTCAAACAAACTCTTCAGCTTTATAATATTAAGTATAGATATAGATATTACCTTCTACGTAGAGCACTGCGCTTTGATGATTTGATAAATTAATAATTACAGGCTCAAAACTACGCGTTTTCCTATACTGTGAAAGACAAGGATACGGGTGATGATTTCTCACACTCCCAGCACAGTAGGGGCGCCGCGACTAATGGAGAGTACAGAGTGAGATTACCGGACGGTCGGATGCAAATAGTTTCTTACACAGCTGACGAGAACGGGTACAATGCTGAAGTCAGATATGACGATGAAGATAAAGCATCAGTTAATGCCATCGATATTAACAACGACAATTACAATAGTATAAATACGAACACCGTCAAACCAACAGACTATATCAATGTAATCACGGATTACAGAAAAACGAATTACGATAGCGGTAATAATTTTAATAATTACATTAGCACGACAAGGTCTTACGATGATGATGTAATTAACTCTAATAAAATCGTTAATAATAACAATGATTACGGTCTAAATGATTACGCGAAATTGAAAAATCAAAACGAGTATGTAAATTATGATTCTAAAGAATTTTACAATGACGATTACTCGTCAGAATTGAACAGCAATTATCCGAGTTACATTAGCAAATTCAAGAGTTTCGCTGACGATAAAATAAACGATAATTATCAAGTAATCACATCAACGAGCAAGCCGACTTTTGATGACATCAGGAATTTGTTGATTGACGAAAAGACGTATAACACGAGACAGAGTTACAACGATATTGAACCTAATTCTCAGTCTACATTGAAAGATAATTCCTATAATCCTAGTAATTTTAAGAAATCAAATTTGTATACCAATATTGATGACTCAGTCGCGATAACGCCGCGGAATTTCGTAGCTAACCCATTTGTAGCTACAACGCCGAGTAGCTATTTGGTTTCAACGATAACTAACTTGCAAAACAGAATCAACTCGCGTCAACCAATACCGATCCTATCCGGTAGATTCATTGATAAAATCAATAAGTATTTAAGTTATAAATAGTCGTGACTAGTTTTAAGTAAAATATTTATTGTATTAAGATGTTTTTTTTAAATTAAAATGTATTTAAATGTTTTGATCGTGTTGTTTATTTTCACTGCCAATTATGATATCAATATTAATACGATTTTTTTTATTATTAGCTTCAGACCTATGTATATTTGTGGCGGAATCTTTGAACATGATTTTGACCCCCTTCAAAACGTCGGATTAACTCGAATTTTGGTATACTTAATAAGGACCGATGATAATTCAATATTAAAAAAAAAGCTTTTCAGGATATTATCAAAATAACCCTTCTACTCATATTTCTTCATAAAATATTTATAACTACTTATACCACGCACCTTACGCTTTTTTTTTACAATAAAATCACTTTTTTCTTGCTACACTATTTTTAATTCAAATTTTTAAAAAAAATATTTTCTATTTTTTAGTTAATTTTCTATAAAAGCGTATTTTGTTACCTTTTTTAAACTATTATTTATGAATTTGTTTGATTAAAGACTGTTGTAAATTTAGAGCCATGCCGAAGCTGAGCTAAGCCAGCTATGGATAAACTTGATTTATGTATTTATTGTGTAGACGGCCCAATGAACTTCACAGCTCATTTGGTATTGACTTGTGAATTCTGTAGCTACAGGAATCACAAATAGTTCATGTCACTCACCTTAAGATATGTGATCTAGATTTCGCTTGTATAGTATAACGGCTTTCGCGCCCTTTAAGCAATCGGCAATTACACTTACAAAATCTGCCATATTAATATCTAACTATATCTGTTAGCTATAAGAAGGAATGGAGGAACATCGTCCAAACAAAAGTGCTCCGTAAAGTCACGACCCTCAGCACTGGGGAAGGGAAGAGAAGAGAAGGAGAGGAGATTAGCTACGTCGTGTAGAATTTAGGCCCAAAACAGCACCATCCCATCTCTTCCCGTTTATGTCCTAATAAGATTTTGTGCGCGGTCTGGTACTGGATTACTGGTGGTAGGACCTCTTGTGAGTTCGCACGGGTAGGTACCACTACTCCGCCTATTTCTGCTGTGAAGCAGTAATACGTTTCGGTTTGAAGGGTGGGGCAGCCGTTGTAACTATACTGAGACCTTAGAACTTATCTCAAGGTGGGTGGCGCATTTACGTTGTAGATGTCTATGTGCTCCAGTAACCACTTAGCACCAGGTGGGCTGTGAGCACGTCCACTCATCTAAGCAATAAAAAAAATTGACGTAAAAGCGAATCAAAGATTTACCGGATAATAGGCAGCGATCTTCTCTTCGTATTTTACGAGCATACCGGTGATACAACATCCTGTATTATAAGTCCGCACGAGTAGGCACCACCACACTGCCTATTTCTGCCGTAAAGCCGTCATGTGTTCCAGTTTGAGCAGTGTGATATTCGTTATACAATTTTATTGAGATTTCGACTTGATGTTTGAGGAAGGTTGGCGATATTCACATTCCATTGTTTTAGGGTATCGGGGAATTATTTAAAACTAGCGACCCGCCCTCGCTTCGCTTCGGAAACATTAAATTTTATTATTGATAGGCGAAGCCCGCCATGTTGCGCGCGGTACGACAATAACTGCGGGTGACGCCGCGGGGCAAAGTTAGTTTTTAAAAAAAGTAGTTACTCCTTATATTATCAGCTACTTATCAGTGAAAGTCCCGTCAAAATCGGTCCAGCCGTTCCAGAGATTAGCCGGAACAAACTGACAGACAGACAGACAAAAAATATAAAAAATGTTATTTTGGTGTATGTACCGTATATATATTCATATGCATGTAGTAAAAAGCGGCTATTTCAATATTACAAACAGACACTCCAATTTTATTTATATGTATAGATTAACTAGGCAGTGAGCTTATTCACTCATATTCGAAAACCCGCCACTGAGAAAAACTACGATCACCAATTGACTATTATACTGCTATTACAGCCTATAGTAAACGCGTCTATCTTCTGGAAAACCCGAATGGAGAAAAGATATCAAAATAGAGACGCCTAGAGGAATCTCTGGTTGTCATGCTCTTTAGCTTCTCCCAGGGTACCTAGAATTAACCGCCTCACCCTGTATAGGCGGCCCGACGTGAGTAGAATCCATAACAGGTGTTAACGTAGACTTGTACCGTACTGGTAATTAGGACCAAATATTCTGAGTGATACACACGGACATAAAGGAAGGCTAATATATATAATTTCCTCATTTCCATTAGTACGTTAAAAATTTAGAAATCAAAACGAAGCTAATTAACATAGAAAAACTTGCTTCGAGCTTTTTTACTGATGGCAGGACTCGTGAACTCGTCCGGGTAGGTTTTCTTAATTGATAGTGAAGGCCTGATGACCGCGGACTCGCCATCCTTCAAACCGAAACGCATTACTGCTTCACGGCAGAAATAGGCAGGACGGTGGTACCTACCCGTGCGGACTCACAATACGACCTACCACCGATAAACCAGACTGAAAAATAAACAACGACTCCGATAAGCACTTACAATGTCTAATTATAATACGCCCGATTTCTCATAAATTTATTACAAAAAAATAATAGTTTAAAAAAACTAATAAAATACGCTTTTATAGAAAATCCAAATAATAAATAGAAAATAAATTTTAAAAATATTTAATAATTCAAATTTATTAAAATTTATTATCTATTTTTTAGTTGGATTTTCTATAAAAGCGTATTTTGTTAGTTTTTTTAAATTATTATTTATTTTTCATTTTTTAGTTGAATCTCAATTTTTTCAATATTTTTTTAAATATCGAATTGTCATCGTTCCTTAATAAGTATACCAAATTTCGAGTTAATCCGACGTTTTGAAAGGGGTCAAAATCATGTTCAAAGATTCCATTACAAACATACATACGTCTGAAGCTAATAAAAGCGTATTAAAAACGTTAGACGAACTGTACGACTGTGTGTTCAAACTGAAATTCACTTGAGGTTGTTACGTCGTTTCCGTTAGCAAAGGCAACTTTCTTGGTAACTTCAAACATGTTCTCAACTTTCATATGTAGACTAATATTATTGAGCACGTGGCTTTGGAGCTTTGAAGTTATTGTATGTGACGCGGAAAATGTACAATACGACAATCAAACGCTTCAAATGAGTAGCAATCCCCGAATTTAGTGATATTAAGTTGACAATAATCGCCAAAGAAAAACAGTTTTTTTTTATTGGTTAGATAGGTGGACCAGCTCACAGCCCACCTGGTGTTAAGTGGTTACTGGAGCCCATAGACATCTACGACGTAAATGCACCACCCACCTTGAGATATAAGTTCTAAGGTCTCAGTATAGTTACAACGGCTGCCCCACTCTTCAAACCGAAAGGCATTACTGCTTCACGGCAGAAACAGGCAGGGCGGTGGTATCTACCCGCGCGGACTCACAAGAGGTCCTACCACCAGTAATTACGCAAATTATAATTTTGCGAGTTTCACTTTTATTATACGATGTTATTCCTTCACCGTGGAAGTCAATCGTGAAGATTTTATAAGTACGTGTTTCATTGGAAAAATCCATACTAGTATCACATGCGAATGTGAACTTGGTACACACGCGTTAATGTCTCAACTAGTGAATCAATCATCATGAAGCTTTCTATGGCCTTCCATTCTATGGCAAGTCCAGGTCGTCATGGAGGTCGACGTTCCTGACGAACCACGGGGCTCCGACGGATATCCTGCAAAAACGGGATTGAATAATTTCAAAGGATTTTAAGTGAGTGCGGGCCGCGTGAGCGAACACTACACTTGCATAGTGACGGGGCGTATGCAAGTTTTGTAGAGTGTCACCTTATTTCTAAGGGACATTTTACTTCGCCTGCATATCATCGGGTAGAGACGTCCTAGAATGAAGGCGGCACGGTCGCGTACCGTCTTAATGTGAGGGTGGAATGTCATCCTACTGTCGAGGGTGACGCCTAAATATTTGACCTTCGGGGCCCACGGTATGAGCTGGTCGAACATCGTGATTGGGCGAATGGCGGTGGCGGAGGTGTCGACGCGCCTAGTCGGGAGAGGGATGCTCAACGTGGTGTTCGGAGGGTGACCCCTTTTGAAGAACACCGCTGTGGTTTTCGTGGGGTTGATGTCGATGCGCCACTTCCGGAACCACTGTCCCATGGTGGTAGCTGCGGTCTGAAGTCGTCGATGAAGCAACGCCTTCTTCCTACACGAGTAGTAGATGGCGGTGTCATCGGCGAAGAGCGCCAGATGGGTCTCCGGAGACCGGGGTATATCATTGATATACAAACTAAATAGTAACGGGGAGAGNTTCCACGGTGAAGGAATAACATCGTGTAATAAAAATGAAAACCCGCAAAATTATAATTTGCGTAATTACTGGTGGTAGGACCTCTTGTGAGTCCGCGCGGGTGGGTACCACCACCCTACCTATTTCTGCCGTGAAGCAGTAATGCGTTTCGGTTTGAAGGGTGGGGCAGCCGTTGTAACTAAACTTGAGACCTTAGAACTTATATCTCAGGGTGGGTGGCGCATTTGCGTTGTGGATGTCTGTGGGCTCCAGTAACCACTTAACATCAGGTGGACTGTGAGCTCGTCCACCCATATAAGCAATAAAAAAAATAAAAAATAAAATAAAAAAAAAGCGTATTAAAAAGGTTGGACGAACTGTACGACTGTGTGTTCAAACTGAAATTCACTTGAGGTTGTTACATCGTTTCCGTTAGCAAAGGCAACTTTCTTGGTAACTTCAAACATGTTCTCAACTTTCATATGTAGACTAATATTATTGAGCACGTGGCTTTGGAGCTTTGAAGTTATTGTATGTGACGCGGAAAATGTACAATACGACAATCAAACGCTTCAAATGAGTAGCAATCCCCTAATTTAGTGATATTAAATTAAATATCAAACGTTGACAATAATCGCCAAAGAAAAACAGTTTTTTTTTATTGCTTAGATGGGTGGACCAGCTCACAGCCCGCCTGGTGTTAAGTGGTTACTGGAGCCCATAGACATCTACAACGTA